CCAGCATACTTTCAACATCAGCTGACAATTGATAACCCAAAAACTCCTTTAACTGATCAACCTTGCAACCATCAACATTAGAATCCACAGTCCCAAGGAGAGCAGTAAAGAATCCACATCTATTCAATTTCATTTTGGTTCATATTAACTGTCACATCAATATTTTCGTCAACTATTAACGATTAGTGATAATTTGATTTACTCATCACTACTTTACATTTTGTAAAACGTTTCGTTTGATAAAGACAATAATTTTTATAAATATTATTAGATTCTTTTAATGTTAATTATTATTTTAAAGAGGAAGTTTTATTTATTTATATATTTAAATTTAACAATTTTATTTTTATAATTTTTTATGATCATTGTCCCTAATTTCTTAGGATTGGATCATTATAATTATGATTTATGTCCCTAATTTTTTTATTTTTAATAAAATTTAGTTGTTATTTTTTATATTTTATTTTAAAAACATAAAATATTTGAAAATAATCATCTATATCATATAACATCAGCGGATGTGAGTGCTAGCTGTCGGTGTTATACACCGTTTGATTGCCTGCTATAAGGACTTCGAAGTCAATGCATTAAAAGTCTCCACCGACGCTATCAACCGATGGGGTTGCCAATAAATGCAAAAGCAGCAGCGAGAAGCGGTTTGGTAGAATGAGCGGACAATATCTGAGCTAAGTTTGCACTGGAACTGGAACTAGCAGCTTGTGTGAGTGAAGTCCGACCACTTGGTCATCTACTATTGTACTGCCACTGCTTGGTTCGGCTTCATGCATGTCGCGTGTGAGCACCACCACCACTGGTGGTGAGTGGCGTTTTGGAAACTCACGGGTTGTCATGGAGAACCAAAGAAATAAACAATGGTAATAAACTCTGGCGTTATGGGACTCCACAAAAGTTATGTGAACCCTAACCTACGCTCCTTGCCACTCAAATAAAGTCCGTACCTGCATGCCTTAAGCACTCGGCTAATTATTGATTTGTGGTTAACCATTTGGGATGATTAGTAGCTGGCCAATAGGGATAAATCAAGTAATGGATGTTCTAAAGTTCTAAAGTTTTAAAAAATGGTCATGTATTTTATATTAATTTTCATTCTTTAAATTTTAAAAATTCCCCCACATATAATCTTACGTTAATTGCTAATTTATGTTACGTCAATTCCTGTATCCAAGATCAATATCAATGTCAAAAAAAATCCAGGGTAACCAAGGTTGCCTGAGACTAACAAAGCCAATATCAGTAACAATCTCCAAGTAATCCCTTGGTTAACTCAACAAGCTAGGTATAAATATAGATATAGTTATTTATTTTCTAGAAAGGAGAATAAAAATCTAAATAAACCTCAATTTATTCAATTAAATAGATCTTTCTTATCGATATTGACTGATAAATATGTTCAACTACTGCTAACATCAGTATTTTTTTCTCTCTCCCGATTTTAAGATTATTTTGATTAATCCGAATAAATTCACGTTGTACATCTAACATTATTATTATTTTTATATAAGCTTTTAATTTTGTTGATAAAATTATTTTATTTAATATTTTTTTGAATGTGTTATAATATCATTAGATGTAAAAATAAATGAATAATATTATGAATATCTCGTTAAAAATCTTTAATCAGAAGAAAGAAAAAAATATATCAGAAAGTACTTAAATACAAACAAAAACACGCACCAACCTAATTTTATTTAAATAAAATCTCAATTTTAAATATTTAAAGATCAAGTAATTGAAATAATTGTAAAATATTCTATAATTTTTTTTTATTGTTTAACCATTGTTTTAGTTTATTTTAGAAATAGATTTGACATCACTATAATTGATCTATACACGTTTATTTGTTATCTAACCAGAGGAACAAATATAATGGATAGTATCGAGAAAACAAATAAAAACATGTACCAACCTAATTTTATTTAAATAAAATCCCAATTTTAAATATTTAAAGATCAAGTAACTGAAATAATTGTAAAAATATTCTACAACTTTTATATAAAATTATATAATATTTTATGATACTTTTAGATTTTAAAATATTTTAAAAGTTATTCATTAACAATAATGAGTAAATTTAAAAAGTAATAATATCTAAAATTCTAGTCGTTTTTCTTTCAAAAATGTTTAAGAATTTTGTTTATTCTTAGTTGATAGATGGTTGTACAGACCGGTATCTGTATTTAGTTCTACCGTTAATATTTTTAATTTTTCTTTTAATTATTTATTTCACATCTCTATTTTTTTTATATTTGTTTTTAATAATTATACTTTTATGACACATTTTCTCTACTTTTATAATATATTTTCTCTACTTTTATAACATGTTTTTTTATCGTTTAGTCATTGTTTTAATTTTTTTCTTCTTAATTTGACATAACTACGACTGATCAATATGCATTTATTTGTTATCTTATTGATATTCCCTGTTTTGCATTTAAAAATAGTTTTTTTTTTATTTCGCTCGATTATAATTTGCTATTTGTTAGTGATCTTTTAGTAGATTTATCTTTTTTTATTATCCTTTTATCTATGCGATAAGATATGTTCATATCTATCTTTTGTTAAATTTTTTGGTTAGATTTTTAACATTTTTCTTGTATGGTCCACGTTTTATCGTTTAGTCATTGTTTTAATTTTTTTCTTCTTAATTTGACATAACTACGACTGATCAATATGCATTATTGTTATCTTATTGATATTCCTGTTTGCATTTAAAAATAGTTTTTTTTTTTATTTCGCTCGATTATAATTTGCTATTTGTTAGTGATCTTTTAGTAGATTTATCTTTTTTTATTATCCTTTTATCTATGCGATAAGATATGTTCATATCTATCTTTTGTTTAAATTTTTTGGTTAGATTTTTAACATTTTTCTTGTATGGTCCACGTGTTATATTGAGTGTCTAGTTTTTGTATTAATAGTTACATGAATATGTCCTAATTATTTTTTCGCATAAAGATTCCAATATTTCTCATTTTCTCTCCTTATATTTACCTTTTTTGATTGATTTTTTGTTCTTTCAAATTTCATTGAGTTTTATCATTAACGTTGCTTCTTTTATCTTTAGATTTTTTTTCGATGTTCTATAAATAATATCATTGTACCAAACGTAACTTATCATGCACTATAAAGCCTTGGTATGGATTTAAGAATTCATTATAGAACCCATGACACAAAGCATAACGATCCCATGATCGTCGCAATCACCGCATCAGTAAACCACCAGGAGACCAAGACTGCAAAGGTTAATTTCAATCAAAACAACAAGTTATGGTAAACAAATTCAAAGAATCAATTTTTGAGTACATTATTATGACGATCCTATGGAAAAACCTTGAAAATTGTACATTATTATGATGATCCTATGGCAACAAATTCACGAGCTTGACAAGCACTTGACGCGCGACTTATTTGCTGTTTCCTTGGCGGAGTCCCTGCGGATGACCTTGCTAGGGTACTTCTTTATCCCGGCAACCAAACAGTCGCCGTAGGGGCTTTCACGTGTGCCCTCTTATCGAGTGGCTGAAATTCATGCACTTGAAAATGAGGGGATATATTATCGTATCGAGTGGCTGAAACCCTAGCGCTTTAACAAAATTGGTGGACATTAGTGGGCTCTCTATGAATAAATTTGGGCCTTAACTGAGTAGACCACTATGACTTGAATTTTGGATCATTATCAGAGCAACTTCGGATAAGTTCAAAAGTGGTCATTAATTATCTTAAAAGTAAATATTTTTAGTCATAAAATTTTAAAAATTATAAAATAGATATTCAATTTTAAATTTTATTATAAAATGAGTATCACGCCGTTAACTACGGTAAGTTGCGATTAAGGATATTACGTTATATTTTAACATTAATGAGTGATATCAATTACTCTCTTAATAATAATTAAAATTTTATTTTGGTACTTTTATAATAATTCTAAACAATAATTCTAAAAACAATAAAAACTTATATATATTTTATAAATTTATAAAAAGAGTTTTAAAAATTATAAGTTTACAAAATATTTTACGAACAATACAATTTTAAGTAATTTAGTTTTTTTATGATTTGATTTTATTATTTCTTCAATATTTTTTTAATTATTTTGACCAAATTTGAACCACATATTTCTTAATTATTTAGAATACATGTATAATTTCAATTTATGTTTTTTACAATAAATTTCTTTGTTACAAATGCTAAGGACCTTGGAGAATTGATATGAGCTACCTAAAAATATCAGAAAAATTAAAAATTAAAATTTGAATCATAATTAAAGGTATAAAATAAATATTCTCTATTAATTTTAATATGTTATGTCCATTCTCTCGATAACGCGGCTAATTATGTGGTGTATATTTTATAAAAAAAATTAAAATTTAATGTTTATTCTCAGACTTTTGAAAGTTTAAAAAGATCATATTAAAATAATTTAATGACAATTTTATTTATTTTTACTAAAAAATTTAATATCATTAATGTTTAACTTATTTAATTAACTCAAATTTTTTTAAAAAGCATACAATAAGATAACTCTCAACTCAATATTTTTTTATTCATAACTCAATTTTTTGGGAGAAGATTTTATATTTATTAATTATGAAAATAGAGTAAAAATATGAATATTATTGTTATGAGTAATGAGTATGATAAAATGACTTGGAAAGTATCTATGGATGAGCATAGGACCCAAATTTGATGGATTGGATCGAGTCAATTTTTTTAAAGGTGATGTTTAGATTGGGTCAATTCGATCTAGGGTGTAAAATATCCAACCGACCCAACTCATCCCTAACAGTATCTCACTTGATAAGGAAGAAATGGCCTTTTAGAAGTGTTAATCAATCATCATTTTAATTAAATATAAATAATTAATCTTTTGATTATTTAATTTTATATAAATAACTAATGTTGGTTTGGATTCAAGACTTCAATTATTGAAGAGAAATCTGGAAATAGAAAACAGACACGTGGAATAATTATACTTATGAAGAAAAAGTCAAACGGAGTAGCAATAGTTTTATTCAAAATGAAGATGAACCGTCCCGTTTATACAAAATGAGAAAGGAAAGCAAACCCTATTGTTGCCATCATCAAACTATAATCCATAAACAATGGAAGCATCAAACAAACCGTGAAATACAAGAACGCTTCAAAAGCATGCATCCAGGACACAACAGCAACACAGGGCTGCGCAACTGCCAAAAACACAGACAGATATCAATTCATCACTATATTTGAAGAAGATCATTTGAAGAGTAGTAGAAAGTACGGGGCTTAATACTTACCATCCTTTCCAGAATCCGTCACCTCTGACTTGGTTTCGATTGCAACCGGTATTTGGGGCTCATCTTTACTCATCGGATAACCAACTGGTGGTGCAATCACATAAGGTTCCGACGCCGTGGATGTTCACTGTGTTGGATATGCACCTGATGAATCGTTCAACAGTAACTAAACCATGTTAATATTGTTGGGTTTGAGAAACCATAATCTGTAACTTTGGATTGAACAAGAGAACAAACCTGCTGATGGCTGGTTGTGATTCATCCTTGAATTTCTAAGCTGAAAACGAGGCTACGGGTGGAGTAATTTGGAAGAGATATTAATGCTAGGGAGTTAAAAGGGAGAAAAAAGATTTGAATATAGAAGATAGGAAGAAGATGGATATATATATATATAGAGAGAGGAAGTGGAAATGGAGGATTCCTTTTGTCTTGAGAAAGCAGGTCGGCGGCCGGCACCGCGTGGCAGTTGGAGTCTAAGGTTGTCGACGGAGTTTAGACTTGGGAGGGACACATACTTCTATCAGATTATACATTAATAGAAAACCGCGTTATATAATATATTTTTTTTAAAATTTTGTAATTTTAAAACATATATTTTGTTTTTATTTTACCAACTCCACCTTTGAAAAGAACGAATATTAAGTCATCTTCTTGAAATATTCGAAGTTTTTCTTCCTACTCGTTATTTAATTCTGTGTTTGATGTATCATCTCCTTGTCTGCGACCTAATTTTGCTTTCGCGTTCCTTTTAATAATTCCTTATATCTAAATATCTTTGTATTTGTAATATGCACACGTTTTAATGAAAAAAATAATATACACAAGTTAGAAAAATTTTAAGCGGTCTAATTAGAATTATAATTTTTTATGAGAATTTAAATATTACTATTTTTATTATATGGACCTCTGACTATAATTATTTGAAGAATTAGATTAAAATTTTATCAATTTAAAAAATTAAAATATAATTTTATCTTATATTAGTTTCTAATTTTTATCATGTCTAATGTTATATTTTGATCTAAATTATAACTGGTAATTAAGTTATATTTTATTATAATTCTACCGGTTGAAGATTTCTTGGTAATTGATTTTATTTAATAAAATAAATATTTATTTTAGGAAAGAATTCTTATTGTAACCAAGTATTCAACTCTATAAATTGAGATTATTTCTTAACCTTTAGGGTAATCTGAGAGAATTATTTTGAAGAGATGTAATTATTTTTGGATATATGCTACTTTTGGTGCTTATGTTGCATATATAGTTTTGTACGATGTTGAAAGAGTGTTTTGGGCTATATCGGGTTTTAGTAGATATATCGGGTTTTGAGATACATGAGATATCATGTATTTGTACTTTTTGTGTTCTTCACGTATATAGTGGATAGTTGTTCATCTCGTCCGTGGAGGTAGATAAGTCCGAACCATGTTAAATCTTGTCTCTTGTGCATGTTTTATTTTATGTTGATGTCGCTTTGGTTATTTTCACTCTCAAAAATTCTAACAAGTGGTATTAGAGCATCGGGTTCAAGATTATGATAACAATAAAGTATGATATTCCGCTGTAAAATCGAAACACCAGGTTCTCCTTGTGGCAGGTGAAGATTCAGGATGTCCTTGCACAATGGACTTAGATGACGTATTGGAAGAGTTTGATAAGAAGACATTATCAGACTGGAAGAACGAAAAAAAGTAAGGATCATAAAGCTCTATCTCAGACTGGAAGAACGAAAATAAGTAAGGATCATATTGCAGGATGTGTTGAAAGAAAAAATGTATGCTTCTTTGTGGGAAAATTGGAGTAACTATGCATGCAAAAATCGTTGATCACCAAGTTGCACTTAAAGCAACGTCTTTATTCGCTCAAGTTGGTAGAAGGTTCGTTTCTTGAAGAGCACTTGACCGCATTCAATGAAATTGTCTCTGATCTAAAGACTTTAAAAGCTAAGTATGATCAATAATATTGAGGATTGATCCTCTTGTATTTTCTTTCACCGAAATCCTCTTGTATTTTATTCCTTCATATCAGTTAAATTTGTTAGAACCGTAGGCGCACCCCATGGCGTTGCGAAAGCAAACATGAAGGTCTCACTAGCAATCCATGTACGAAAGCAAACACGAAGGTCTCCACGAAAATTTCTCAACCTCTACTTGGTTCACCCAATTGATAGCAAATATTTTTCACTTTTTCTCAAAAACAGTTTTGAGAAAATTGGCTAAAAGATAAAAAAGCGGGTGTCCATCTTGTTTCCTGGACATCAATCAATGCTAGTTTTATGTTGCCCTAATTTTTCTCGTTTATAATTGAAATTAGCAATTTTTCGTTTTAACTTATCGTTTTATTAGAAATTATCCCAATTAAAAGCATACTATAAGTCCACGACCATCCATGTACCATTTGAGACCTATTTGACCCAAAATAAGAAAGGGTTTTGAAACCTCACATGTATCTTTACAGTCTGCCCTCTAGAAAATTTTTACATTATGGACTACTGGTTTCGAAACCAACCATAGGGGTTTCGAAACCTTGCTAAAATTTTGGTTCCTGTACGTTTTTAAATCCTTAAAACCTTTTTCAAAACCACTCCAACACATCAAAAAGCGAAACATAGGTTTATACACTATCAAATAGATCAAAAAGGGCCTTAACCAAGTTCAATAACATTCAACATTAAAATCTACCATTAATGACCATACAAGCTTCCCAACTAAAAATTTCTAGCTTGAAATGCATTCTAAGACTTACAATTGGTATGAAAAAAGGTTATAAATGTGTTACCTTGAATGCTTGGTTGAAGAAAACTCCCTAAAATAACCCAAGGGTCAACTTCTCTTTTCCTCTTGCCTTGGATCATTCTCCAACTTCTTTTACTAATGCATAAAGAAATGAAGTTACTAGCTTATTTAGGAGACTTCCAAGAGTCTAAAAACATCTCTTAAACCTCATCTTTTGCTTATCTCAAACTAGAATCCTCCATTTCCTAAACTCCCATAAAAACCCATTTTTTGAAAACTAGAGACGTGGAGCTTAAACTCAAGCTTAAAAGATGGAAAGAAATATTCTTACCTTGGCAAAGCAACTAGACTTGAATCCTTATAATTTCACTTAGTAGAGGATGAAGAAAAGAGAGAATGAAGAAGAAGAAGAAGAAAAGGTGGAGTGTTTGGTGAGAAATGAGGGATGTCTTTCACGTGGGAAACTCTTAAAATAAAGGGGTTTTTAGCTCTTAATTTGAACTATGGAAAAACTACATTTTTAGTCCCTCACTTTTATTTTCATTAATTACTCACCACCCTTCCATAACTCTCTTGGGCCGTGATTACAGCCCACCAACACTAAACTTGGTCTAACTATCTTATAGGGTCCTTTAAACTTAACTTTAGGTCTCGGGTTGACTCGAACTACTAACATGAGATTTGGGGTAATACAACTAGATCTTTGCTTATCTTTATATATCCAAGTTACCCTAACTTTAGTGTTTTAAATTCTAAATTAATTAAAATTTTATTTTAATTATTCTGAAATAATTTTTTTAATTATTCCAAATTAAATACCCATTCAAAAAGTTGTAACCAAAATTAATTTTTTTAATGTCCACTTATTTTATTCGGGACAATTAAATTATATGTATATCAAATATACATATATTAACTCTAATTATATTGTACAATTTAATATTTGATGTAACCTTAGGGTGTGACCCTGTAGGTTATTGTAACATTAGTAGTGATTATTAGAACCATTCTAATATTACAAACAATGAGTGACATCTAGTAATATATCATTGTCACCTAAGTTACAAGAAATCATGATTCGACATATTATCTTCGTGATTGAATCTTTTATATATTACATCCTTTTGTCCTTTATATCTATAATAGGCATAAATCTTGGAATAGCCACACTTGTATGACCCATCTATTATTTCATGATATCTAGAGTAGAATACAATTAACGAATAATTTGTGATATTACATATCAACTTATTCGAGCATGACCATGCATTTCTAGTCTCACTCAATCAAGTTGTCTGTGGTATATTTCATATTATGCATGAAGGACAAATCCTTTCTTAATCATTCACATCCCACTACATATATCGAGATATGTTCAATATCAGTCTTTATTGTACAACCAATTACGAAGCATGTTTAACTGTATCAAAACATATAATAATATATATTAAGATATTAATAATCTCAAGTTTGATGATCATACATATAGTCATCATAATGAGCAATGTTGTGACCATTACATAATAATCCAAGACATATGCTCATAGTAAGTCAATCCAATATGTCACTCCCTAGCAACATATTCAAGTATTGATTCTGACATCTCTATGTCAATGGCAATTCATTGTCATCAATCAATAACACGTTAGTCTTAAACATATTATTATTGTCCATACCCATAATAATATTCGACTAAGGATATTTAATAATAATCATATTATTATATGGACTTTATTATCTTTCAGTTTATGTTAGACACGTATATATAATTGAAAACAATAATGACAATGTCTTTATTCAATAAAATCGGTAAATAAAATGTGTCCATACAATCATTATATGATTGGTCTATGGGCATAATTTAACAAAATTCTTCTAATCTGCCAATGGCTTTTCCCTTTGGGGGGTTTCACGTAAATATTGGTGTTATTTATTTTTCTTTTTCGATTGTGTTTTTTGTTTGTCGATAATCGTTATGATATTATAACAAATTGGTATAAGAGCTATGATTCGGGCTATGGAGTTTTGAAAGAATTTGTTGCTGCGAATTTTGTTAGTGATTTTGGAGACATGCACAATTAATTTGCTACAATGAGTTTTCAGTTCAAGGAAGTAATTCTCGATTGATTCATTGATACTTCAATGTATATCGAGTAAGAATTGAAGTTGTTAAGATTTGACAGCTGTGCTTCTAAGGATATGTGACTTACGTAAAAATTGAAGTTGTTGAAGACTTAAAGAACCAATTTTTGATGAAATTTAGGTTAAGAGGGAGATTTGTTATATTTTGACTTAAATTATAATTGATAATTAAGTTAGATTTTATTGTAGTTCTAGTGGTTGAAGATTTCTTGTTAATTGATTTTATTTAATAAATTAAATATTTATTTTAGGCAATAATTCTTATGGAATAAGAATTCTCGGTGACCAAGTAATTGACTCTATAGTTAGAAATTATGTCTTAACCTTTAAGATAATGTGAGAGAATTATTTTGGAGAGATGTAATCAATTTTGAATCTTTGCAACTTTTGGGGTTTATATTGTAGAAATAGTTTTGTAGGGATGTTGGAAGAGTGTTATGTGATATATTGGATTTTGGTATATATTGAGTTTTGGTATCTATACCGATTTTGGGATACATGTGATATCATGTACTTGTACTCTTTGTGTTCTCTACGTTTATAGTAGATTGTTGTTATCTCGCTGTGGAGGTAGACAAGCCGAAACACATTAAATCTTGTCTATTTTACATGTTCTATTTTATGTTGATGCCGCTTTAGTTATTTTTCCGCTTTCAAATTTCTAACATATAATTTTATCATTTTAAAGATTAGAATACTTGTCAATCCGTCAACTTTACCTCTAACAATATATTTATATATTTAAATCATATTTAAATTATTTATACTAAATATAATTTTAATATGTTATTATCTCATATTATATATTTCCACTTGAATTATATAGACGTAAATTTTGTTTTTATCGATGATAAATAGAATAATACGTGATAATAAGCTCGTTCTTGAAATTTTCTTGTTCTATTATTAATATATTAAATAATTATTCATATATTTTTATTAAAATTTTAAATTTTAGAAGCAAATTCTGAAAGATTGAAATGAGATCCATTATGTATAAAGTAATAAATACTGGTCAACATTTTGAATTTTTTAAATCGATTATTTCTATGTATAATAAACAAATTAATTAGAATAGTTTGCTTATATAAATAATCATAAAAAGGGGAAGGAAAATGCAACGGTATTGATTCTATTTTGATTTATTGTTAATAAAAGGAATCAATTCATCAAAGATGCGTGTGACGTGTCCAGTCCAGGCTATACAACGGTATCATGCGCGTATATTACTTAATGAAGACGTTTCTTATTTTGAGACTTAATAAATCTAATATATATTTAAAGACTTGATGTCTAAATAAGTGCCTAAATTATATCTCGTGTTAAACAAATGTCAATAATTTTTTTGCCCATTCGAGTGCCTAGCGTTACAAACATTACCACTTTATGTATCCGGATCGTCAACGGCGTTAATTTTTCCTGTTTTCATATTATCCGATCATTTCTTTAAGACGCTATAGACAGTGATACTGGACATTTCCTGGTTTTGATACAAGCCATCGTTTGCAACAAGATTGTTGGACGTTATTTTATAAAACGTGATTGTACAAGGTCTGAAAAAAAAGGATAAAACATGTGGACCAGTTTCAATTAATACGGGATTCTGATTTGCTCAGAGAGGCCTTTCAATAACACACCTCAGTTCCCTACAAATATATTTAAAAGAAAGTATGATTCATCAGATACATTCTCCCCCAGAAACTGACATAATGAAATGGAACAGAAAAATTTCATATATAATATATGAAATTAAAACAAAGAAGTTTCCAATTCCATTCCAAAGGCCCTGTACAGATTTTGATATTCTAACCCACTAAACTACGCTTCCCACTTGGCATTTGGAGTGTTCAGACCAACCAAATCAAAAGGCTTTACCTTCCACTACACAATTCCCTTTTTCCTTTTTCTTATTAACCCTTCACAGATTCAGAGCTTATTTGACTGTTACTCCCAGCTGGTGAGTTGGGTCCATTGTCGGACACCGAACGCTTGGAGAAATCCATCAAAAGCTTTCTCTGTTCTTCGTTGGTGTGAGGAAGACTAGCACGTAGAAGCTCACATGGCATTTCACGCCTTATAGCCTCCGAACCAACTACTTCCGTTGTTGGTGGGGTCTGGTTGTGTATTGATTGCATTATTGACTCGTACTTACTCACACAATACTTTGTAAGAAGAGTGAAAAATTCATCAAATGACGCTCTCCAGAAAGCATAACTAGGCATGCTGTAATTCCCGTAAGGATCACTTAAAACTTGACTGGCTTTTTCAAGAACTGATTTTAATATGACTGAAGCACCATCCCCAACAAGGCTTCCAAGTGGCCTAAGTGGTGGCTGCTCTGAGGAACAAACAACAGCAACAAGGCAGGCACTTAGTGCATGGATATCCATGCCATTAACACATGTAGAAACAGTCTTTGCAAGGTCAATAGTTGTCTCTGCTGCTTCCGGATCAGAAGAAAGACCGCCAAACAAGAATCTCAAGTGACGGAAAATGGTCATGCACACTATTCGACTAAGCTCACTTCCGGGGATGATAAGTTTTAGGTACCTGGTGATAAGCTTACGGCCCTTTGGAAGAGAGACTATTCTCAAGAACACAATATCATCCTTGGGAGCACAGCTAACTGCATGCCCGCCTTTGCTAAGAGGATCGACAAGCTGAAGTGATTGTGCCAGACCCTCAAGAAGGATCTGCCGCCTTCGTTTAAGCCGAGTCCCACCATCTTGGTACTGTTTAAATTGTATGAGCCTGTCAATATCATCAACATCAAAAAGAAGACCTAGAGCATCTTCAATGGTGATCCTAGCTGCAAGCATAGGTTCCTGCTCCAGAGGCTTCTCAGTTTTCTGTTCAGAAACTCCATCAGTTGAACCTAAGGGAGGATCTACTTCAAGCAGAGGACGGGGTTTACGAATGGTAGGGAGTGGGAGCTTCCCAAGTGCATCAGCATTCAGATGCAATTGCTGCTCCCCACTTTTGTGGGACCGAGAATGTGATTCCTTCAGGTGAAATGGGCAAAAATTATGTTTAGTCCTGGATCCGGAAGACCTTCTGGCAAGACAAGCTTGGTGGTAATAATCATCTACGTAAGGATCATTGCTATGGGTAGAAGAATGCTGCATCTTAAGAATACTCTCTATCTCTTCGGAAGTCATATGCTTGGATCTGAATTGCACTAACCCACTCTCACCTTTCTGGCTGCCAGTATCAGAGCTTTGCTGAGAAAAACGCATGCTCTGCCTGTTTCTTTGTGATGATTTTGTCCGTTGCAACATCATTTTATGTGATTGAGGATGGGCATTATAAAGCTGAGATTGCAAGGAAGTAAGATGTGCCAAAGATGGTTGAATTGAATGGTGCAGCCTGTGCTGTTGCAACTGATGTTGTGGTGACATTAACTGTGGGGATATGAAGCCATTTTGATGGGGTATTTGATGTTGTAACATATGATGCAAAAGACCGGCATGATCTCCATGTAAAAGACCAGAGTGATTAACCCAATGATTTTGTGACCTGCTACTAAAAGATAGGCCTGGAGATGCTAGCTGGGGTATATTGCCATCATAACGCAATCCACGAGACAGACCAGCCAGACCGGGACTAGAGTTGGACAATGGAGAGAGGCTTGATGTCGAGAAGGGTTGCTGAGATCCACTAGCAAGAGCAGGAATTCTTAGGTGGGCAGGTGAAGACTGCTCGCATCTGATACCAGGAGGGGGGAAAGACGTGAAGGTTGATTTGGATTCAACAATTGGTTCACTTGAAAAGTGTTGTGGCTGTGGTTGCTGCTGGGGGTATGTGGAAGTTCTATACAAAGGCTTCAATTCAGGAACAGACGCTGAAGAAAGATGTAGCTGTGAGGACCATTTATTAACGTCTTGAGCATCTTCTGCATCAAACATATTCTGATCCATCCAGTTTAGGTAGTCTCCATCTTGAGACCAGTCAGCAGCAGACGAACCTGAAGAATGGTGCAACTGTAACATAAGCAATTGCAAGTATAAAAGTTACCAAGCAGCACTGAAAAGAATAAACTCCGACAGATTCAATACTCAAGTATTGAGGAGTTTCTAGTTAGCAGTTAATATATTTTACACAAATGACAACAGCCTCTATGCTATTATCTTCAAAGAAAAGAACTAAGGTTAAAGAAAAAAGTTCCAACATAAACAGGGCAAGGCTAAATGCATCACTTTAAAAAGAAAGATTGAGATGAAAAATTTAACTAAATGTACATGATGATCCAAGAAAGAATAAATAAAACAGATAGAATAGCAGAAAAGGATATGATCAATGAAAAGCCTAATACTAATAACCCAAACATATAGTCCTATTTTACAGACAAAAAACAAACAGAGACCAAATTCATCTGGAAGATAGGGCATTATCACTTCAAAAGTTCACAACATAAACAGGGCAAGACTAAATGCAGCACTTTAGCGAGAAAAATTGAGATGAAAAATTTAACTAAATGTACATGATGATCCAAGAAAGAAAAATGAAACAGATAGAAAAGCAGAAAAAGGATATGATCAATGACAAACCTAATACTAATAACCCAAACATAGTCCTAATTTACAGACAAAAAATATGGTTACAAATCAATTAATACCGTAAAATAAACAACTTGGAGGCTGATACCATCTTAACCAATTAAAGAATAATGGAGAGATCTCTCGTATAATTGAGAATGCAAGGTACTCAAAATAACCAATGTGAGGATTACTTATACCACTTAAAAGAAACAAATTGGGCATTTATTTCTATGACGAACCGATGCTGATGATTTTCGTAGAAAGAAACCTGATATTTCTTTTAAACTGAAATTGCACCACAACTAGGTTCTCTTTGGTTTATCATACAAGATATTTTCAATGAATTTCATGTCACTAAATTATGTGACAAGGTATGAAGGGTGCTAGATCTGGAGATTTTCAAGCAAATAAATTGAACAAAAAAAATATTGTTTTCAAAATATCAACGGATATTATATTGTTCATTCATTACTATAGATTACAGCTTCAAAATAAAGGCATAAAGTATGGCTTACTATACTCACTTTCCCTTGAAAAAGATCCAGACCTATCACCAATAACTCCTGGATGTCTTGGTCCGTAACAACCCTATTCAACTGTGAAAGGGGAAAATGTATTAAAATCCAACAAACATGAAGGGTAATACACAATTAAATGAAACAAAAATAGTGGCAAGACGCAAGAGAACACAAGAAAGTACACAAATATATGCATCTGAAGAATCAAGGTATTAAATTTCCAACATCATGGCAAAAAAATTGGTGTGCAATCCAATCTTTAGAAATGGGGGAAAAATGAAAAATGACACCGTATTTAAAACACAGATTATGCACTCCCTCTCCCTTCATACAAGAAGAAAAGAGCTTTAACATCTTAAATCCAAATTGTTGGGGAGGATTCCTTTTAAGTAGTTATGGGAACAGATCCAGCAGATAGAAGAATCTCTGGCTCAAAAGGAAAAGATCATCGAATTATGAGCCTAGTTGGGATTTCAGTCCTACTAAACCTCTTTATTATTCATATTTTAAAAAAATATATTCATAATGATAATCTGATATTTTGTGCGTATTAAAGAAACATTCTATAATGTGACAGACAAAGACCAAAAATATAAATATCCAGTTATTTTCCTTCATAAACAACACAACAAGCTGAAAATCCTTAGCACATTGAAGGTCTAGTTTGTAGCACCCTTTAAGCTTTCAGATAGTCCTAATTGAAAGCCAAAAGCATAGTCTCCAACAAGGGAAATGGTGATCAATTAATATATATATAATGACCAGCCTATGCATTAGAAACATCTAGAACCCAATTGATCAGCACAAGGATGACAATTGTAACAAATGTTATGCATTAATTTGCTCTACTTTGCTCAAATTTTTGGTTCTTTACTTCTATTTCAACTCTTAGTTTACCTTCGTAACCTCTATTCTTTGCTTTTTATCAATCTCCCTCACTATCTTATATTACAAACCAGTACAAGGCCGCTAGAAACTCAAGAAACAAGGATATCAAACCTTACAAAGATCGATATTCAATCACTCTGTAACATTTACAAATGAAAAACTGACCTTAGCAAAAGTAGTAGACAGATCATCCATGTCAGACAAAGATCCTGAACCTGGAACCTGAAAATTGAATAACAGAAAAATAGAGCTGAAATACTTGTATTTCAAAATCCAGATACACCTAAAGTTGAAACCAAGATTTGTGTTTAGTACATGACTGATTATTATATATAGGTCAAATGATGGACAGCAACATCAAAAAGGAAAAGTTAAGTAGAAAACTAAAATCAATGTGCACAACTGCAGAAACTAATTGGCACAAATTCCTTCAAAACATGAACAGAAATGGAACAGAAAGCCAATAAAATAACTCCTCCACCTGACACACAATAATAATAGAGGAATAGAGCTTTATTTTACGAGCACATCTTTCTTCCTTCGGATATACTTGTTAACAATTAAGGCAATTATTTCTTCTATCACACAGTATTCTTACTTTAAAAAAAATAGTGTGGATAGGAAACATATTTGTAGGACATAAATATCAATAATAAAACATTTTCATGCATGTTAACACCTCAAATTGATAACAGCTTTGCAAAAGGGAAACTTCAAATGTATGGAGAAAGTCAACTGCAGAACCATTGAAAGTTCAAATAGTCTGACTTCATTCCATAGTATCATTTTTTATCCAAATTGGCAAACATAATCTTCTTATTAAGCTTTGTAAAACTTTAATTTCCAAAACAACCAGGGAATAGGACTTCTTATTGCTAACTGATGGGGTATTCACATTTAAATTTAAATTCACAAAGTACGCTATTATGAACGCAATTTTAGTTCAACTTCGACACATGTTAAACAAGATAGACTACACCTCAAGTGATAAGTACAAAAACTGAAGGCCAAAAAACTAGATGACAAAGTTTAAGTAAAAACAAAATCCAACGCAAATAACGTTTTAAGCTCACAAAAAGGATTATCATATCATGGAAAGAAAAGGAGGCTGCTTTACAAAAGAAACTAACTTCAATTCGTCACACATTGCGTAATCGAAGGAATGAAATCTCACCTCCCCTCTATCAAACAAATGATACTCGTCATCTTCAATGGACGCAAACACGGGAGAATCCTCTTCACCATCTTCTAGACCCCCCAAATCCACTTCTTTCATAGCATCGTGACCAAAAAATGCGTACTGGGTTGCATCAAAAAGCGCATTATCTGAAAAAACACATAAACTAATTAGCAATTAAACAATACCATAAACCGATAAATCAATACTTTTATCTCAGCCAACCATCAAACAAGAAAAGGAATCAAAACCTCGAAGTGCAAACCCTAGAATTAAGGTTAACTAAAAGGAGAAAAATGATAAAGAAACAGCAGTAATCTAGAAAATACAATAAATAAAATGTTTGCTAGCTGAGAAAATGAAGTAAAGATCCAATCTTTGCAAGGAAGTTATTTTTCTTCCGTATCTCAGCGAAAACTTAATTGAAAAGAAAGACTAAATAAATGAAAGAATTGAAACCCAAAAACAAAAAACCTGAGGAAGCTTGAGAGAAGTTGTTGGGAAGTTTGCCATCGGATCTCTTCATAATTACAAAAAACCAGCCTAGAAAGAAAACCCCAGGCACAGCAGGCAACAGAGGAAGAAGAAGAAGGAAATTAGAGTTAGAAAATAATATCCGGGATTTCGTTTTAGAATTAAGTCGGAGAGATGAGTGGAAAACGGTGTAAATAAAGCAGGATTAAGAGGGTTTTTTATTTGGTTAAGGGATGGTAGGAGTAAACAACGAAATCTCGCTCTGTCTCTGAGAGAGACGGAGGAGATGAAAGGGAAGATGGAATGGAAAAAGTTTGCTTTTGCTTCTGGTTTTTGTATTCGTTACAAGGATAAAGTTCACACATGCTGCCCTAGTGTTATTTTGTTAAGCGACTATATATTAAAAATTATAAAATATTATTTTATTAATATTATAAGTTATATTATAAATTATCACATTTAAAATTTATTATTTTTTATTAAATGTGACAGCCATCTAAGTTTGATTTTAATATATTAAATGTGATATAGTAAAATATATTTTCATAATATTTGGATTATATTTTATGAATTGATTCTCTATTTATATTATATCATCGAGTTAGTACTTGAAATATTATATTGTCGAGTCGGTGTTTGAAAGTAACGAAAATATAGTATATACTATTAAAATATAATTTTATCATATCTCAATTAATATATTAATGTTCAAGATGATCAATTTTTTAATAAAAACGATGACGAGTTTGAAACATATAAATAATAGGATTATTTTCTACCTTTCAATAGTTATAAGACTTAAAAGAACAACACTATTAGTTTATGGACTATTTTGTAACTTTTAATAATTAGAAATTTAACAAAATAATATTTTTATAGTCGATGGACCAATTTAATAATTTATCCTTAAAATAAAGAATAATCTACATTTAAGGTGACTTGGTAATAAATTAAATAATAAATAAATCATTTTGTAAAAAACTTATAAACAAGTCACCTAACTAAAATACTATTACAAATATATCAGTTCATCGTTAAATTGTTATTTTCTTAATATAATAATAGTTTAACAAAAAACTTTTGTTATTTTATAATAAAATATAGTTATTTAATTACTGTTTTGATTCAATGGATTCACTTTATTTGACAATATTATAAAAAATATTATATTTATTAAAATTTAAATATGAATAGTTAAATTTATTAAATTTACCCTTGACTGTACCTCCACTGGATGACCACCCACGCGACGACAACCATCGATAAACCTAAATCGCGATTTAAAAGGAGAAAACATTGAAATTGAACAACCACCAAATCACGAAAACATGGTTGTGCACGACAATAATTGGGTTTTAGTGTTTGGAGAACGGTAATGACAGCAGAGGCGACAACAACAGCGGTGGTGACCAACAACAACATGGAGAAATAAAACTTAACATGGAGAAATAAAAGTTAGGGTAAAATATTTAGGAATGATTTTAGAGATTTGAATTTTTTTTTGTAATTTTAGAAAAAAAAAGATTTTTTTTATAAATATAATATTTTTTTAAACCGGTAAAATTTTACAGCTTTTACAGTCCGGATACCTAAAGTGACAACGTTTGTAACATTAGGCACCTAGATGAATCGAAAAAAGTTTGGACACCTATTTGAGAAAAACAATATAGTTTGAGCATTTATCTTCGAATTAAGCCTAAATCTGTTTATGAATCGACATCCATACTTAGAGTCAATAAATTGTTCAGCTTCTGTTCTCAACTGCTTCTAACAAAAACCTCCGTATGAATTTACAACATAATGCTTAGGAATCATAGATCCTAAAGCAAACAAAAACCAAGCATCAATATGTTCCTATAACAATCATGTCTATAGTTTTTAAAATCATGTCAAACTATTGTGTTTAAGAAATCTGGAATGCATCAATTACATCTGCCAATGGCGACTGCTGCACCCCCTTTTCATGCTTGGAGACAGGCCAGGAGAGAAACATGGTGTTCTGTTTTTTAGTTGTTTGGTCAAATACATGCTTATATTGGACTTGCTCTTAACACCTGCAATATAAAAGTAAACCGGGTTTTGGGTTCGTCATCCATCATCTGAACATCGATCGGAAAAAAATTGTATATGCCAGTGATGGTCATTGGTACATAGATAAGTGGAGAGTTTGCTGCTTGCGTTACTCAGACAAGGCACACGAATGTCCGCACATTGTAACCTGTGCCCCACACATGTTCGGACATGGGAAAAGTTAATCATACCCGTGGCAGACACTCGTTACTGACCCTGAATCCAATTAACATAGTTTTCAACCATAGCGTATATCATTCTTCTCCATCTGAAGTTGACTGATTCAATACTCTCCAATTTACTAGCATACTAAAAGTTGACAGAAAATGGAAATAGATATCGGTACCTGATTTTCCTAACTTGTTGCAGTAGGCCGGTACTGATGATGATGAGGCCTTCCTGCTGGTCCATAAGTAATAAAAGTTGTTGCTCTTGGCTGCACTTGCCTATTACTTGTAGATGGAGCCGGCAGCTCTCTCATGAACCATAGTCCAAAGCAAAGGGGACCGATGTACCTGCTAGCCTTATAGATTAACTTTTTATAGTACGTCGATTATATTTAGTTTTAGTTTGTTCAAATCAGTAACAAAGCTGAATGAAATACCTAAAACATGGTGCAGAATAAGAAGAACAGGTGCTTCTATGCCGATAATCTCCTTCGGATTCCAATGATGAAAAAGCTGTCAATAGAAAGAAAAACTTAACCCCACAAGAAAGACCACATGTCGAGGTCTTGAGTTATCAAGTACTTACAAGGACATCCGAAAGAAGAGCTATTAAAGAACTCGATGTGAAACACAAGACCGAGACAACTGCTAAACCAACCACCTGAAAAATGTGGCAAGCTTCTTGAATCATTCGAATTTATTTTACCCCTAAGTTCTTAAAATTTAGACTATGTTTCACACCAGAAAGATGCGTACAAAAAGAAGGCTAAATGAAGAATAGGTAGCAAATGCAAACCTTACGCATTTCCGATGAAGCTTTCTCAGATCGGACTCTCCTCCATTTAGAAAATAGAAGGAAACCTGAAAGCGGTTAAAGAGAAACATTCAAGAAGAAAAAAAGTAGTAACAGAAATAATAATTTTGGAAAATTAATTCTCACCATAGCAACCGAAAGCTCCACCCATTAAAAGCACTGAAGTGGTAAGAAAATCTACATATACCTACACAAGAATTGCAGTTATGGACCAATAACTACTAGTCGCACTGAAAAATATAAAATGTTATCTTCTCTCGATATAGAACTTAGTTCCAACGAATCATAACAAGTAGATAAATTCGGCGTTCACAATATCAATCTTGAGTGGACACCATCTGCCATTTGCTCTGATGTTTAATGAAAGCACCAAGATCAATGCATGCTTAAAGAACCTTAACATTGGATATCTTAACATACTGAAGACCTAACTGTTTGTTCAAATATCAGCTTCCAATAAACAAATGTAATGGACTTAGTACGAAAACGTATCAAGGATATTTAGATGTTATTATCCCCATTTTATAATTTTGGAGTAACATGATCTATACCCGAACAACTACTAAAGAATGACTAGGATTCTTCCCTGCACCAATCCGGATTATTGCAGCAAAGGCGATCATTAAGAAGACATTGAGCATAATGACCTGGTGGAAGAAGGAAAAGAAAAATTAGTTAACCACCAATTGCATCCTAAATAGAGATTATTCGTGCCATACCACAATAACAAATTTTTGTCTGCTACCGACATGAATGCCTTGGAATGAGCAACATTTCCGACGCATATCAATGTTTGACAAGCCTGTCTTGTTCTTTGAACTTTCCAATAAGGGCTGTTGACTATTATGTTCTTCAACACCATCCTCTTCATCATTTGTCTGATGGCAAAGGTCGGCCCTATAAAATCATTGCCCATAAAAGCATATATGTACTTCATAATTTACATTACACTATTTCCGAGCAAAATGTCTCATGTAAAAATGCAATTACTTGCATATCCTTCAAAAACCTTTGAAGATTGCATAAATATGATCCATAATATATCACTGACAATGTCATGATATTTCCCCCATGCAAAATCAACATGATGACTTATCAATAAATCATTCAGACATGGTCCGACTTACCAGAAAGATAGGAGAAGAAGAAATGCAGCCAAGAACAGAATCCTGGGCAAGGCTGCAGCAGCGTTTTCACTGTTAAAAACGGCTCTAGAAACAAGTACTAAAGGTAAACATAAGTTGTTTCACTAGAGAGAAACATACCCATGAGAACAAAGCCACAGAGATTAGACCAGCAAAGCCACCTTTTGCAAGTGGCAACAACCATGCACAAAAAATAAACGAAATAACCTGTCAGAAGACAAAAGAAGTCCAAAGATAATTATCTGATGCAGAACAAAAAAACCATTTAGACGCTACTGAACATTATAGCTCAAAAAACCATTTGGACACTTCTGAAAATTATAGCTCTGTCTTTCAGGACCACGGAACTGGTTCAGAATTTCTTCAACACTACATTGAAGGTAACTTTTTTCAAGAATGGTTCAACATGAAAGAATAGGATAAAGTCCCTTTCCCGGGATTGAAGAGATTGAGGCACAAACATTTTGAAAGGCCTGCACACTGTCTCAGTAATTGAATGGTGAATTGGTGACAGAGCATGGCAATAAGAAGGCATAAATGGGAACTAGGAGCTTGGGACTTGAGAAATTGTTAAATTGACCAGCATATATTAGCTTCTCTCGACGAATCCTGGTTGAATACCACTACATAAAATCTATCGAAACGACCAATAATTGGCATTGAAAAAATATGCTAGTAAATTAAACTAATTCATGTCAATCATCCTGTAAATTCATGGTCTTCATCTTACAAGAACTCCTACATATCTCAATTGATAGGCCATTTCTTGTTCAAGGGAAAAGTCTTACTTTATATTGCGGCTTTAAAACTATGAATGCGATATCATTTCTAAAAGACTAGATATAGATTCAAATTAGATCCATGCTACTTTACTAATTTGATTAGTAATTAGTAAGATAACAAAAAAAAACCTCGCTGTACAGATCAAAGCTTCTCAACATCTACGTTAAGAATTTAAGATCTTACCACAATTAGAGGAGCCTATCATGAGATGAAGAACCTGCAATTAACATTTTGCTCGATCAATATGGCCCCATTAAAAGAAGAAAATAAAAAACAGTATCGAATTCTTTTTAAAAAGACGAGCTATGTTATTAGGACGTTAGGTATAAGGAAGCATCGTGAAATATTATGGCATCAGA